CCGTCGCTGCCCAGCAGCGCCAGTACAAGCCCCTGAGCGTTTTCCCTTCTTCCCTAGAAAAAGGAAGAATCCAGCTTCACATCCGAGGATGCGGTTCTGGCGTCGGTCGGCATCATGAAGGGCAGCCCCGACCACGGGCTGCTGGTGTCCGAGAGCATGTGCCTGGCGCTGGAGGAGCTGATCCAGGCGTGCTGTGGTGAGCAGGGTGCGCTGGGTGAGGAGGGGGGTCGAGGCTTTCAGTGAGCGTCCCCCGTGACAGGCACTGGTTGAGGGTCACGGTTTTCTCCGCGGGAGTGTGGGAGTCTCGAGGTCGTGCATCCCATCAGTGGGTGTGCGCCTCTCCGGCCAGGCTCCTTCGCTCTCCCGCCTCTCCTTTACATCAGCAGCTCGTTGATGTAAAGGCACTTCCCAGGCTGACGTCAAACACTCATTTTGCTCTTCTGTAGGTAGAAAAAACACCCCTTTACCCACCATCATCTAAAGTACCGTGAGCAGCTGAGTTCATACTTGCTGGGTTGTAGTGCTGGGGCTTGCTTCCTGCTTCAGCATCCTTTTTACTTTACAGTAGTACATTTGAAATGCTTCTCAATTAAGTAAAATATACCCTGGTCAAGCCACAGCATCTCCAGGTTTTGGGGGGCGTAATGACGAACTGCTGTAAAGGGGGCACTTCGGGGTAACTGGCAGCATCGGTCAGTTTCACGGTATGTTTGTTTCTCCAGAGGAAGATGAAGGAGTTCCAGTGGTTCTAGTGTGTGGCCCAAAAAACACTGGGAAATCGACATTTAACAGATACCTGATCAATCTGTTACTGAATCGGTGAGTGTTTGCACCTTCTACATGTAGGAAAGTACTGCATGGGTTTAGGAGAAACACCAGTGAGCAGCTGTCTTGGAGCATGTGAACTAACCGGGCGCCAAGCAGTTAGGGTTCAGTAAGAAGCTGGGAGTTGCGATGCTGAAAGATAGACACTAAGTTATAATCTGCTCGTGTCTTTAAAGATTCTTGGCAGAACAAGGTGTAGAAGCTTATTCTGTCTGATGCATGCTTAAAATAAAGCTGATGAAGTTCTAATCTCACATGGCTGGTCTCAGGGTGCCCAGTTGACGTGGGAGAGGTGGTACATCGGTTAGGACCATCTCTGCTTATTGTTGTAGCTACTTCCCTTAAAGCTGGATGGGTTTGGAGCTATTGTAATGGAATACTGAGCTGTAAGTGAGCCCTATACATTCTCATTTAATAAAGGAGGGAGACAAGGGGTGGTTTGATGTTATTCTACAGCTTAATCTTGGTGATCTGGAACAAAACCAGGTTGTGGATGTTAACATACAGGCTTCTTTCACTGCAGCCTTCCCTCGGTTGAATATATGGAATGTGACATAGGTCAGACTGAGTTTACGCCGCCTGGGTGCGTGTCACTGAGCAACGTGACAGAGCCAATTCTTGGTACGTGTTTTGCTGTTCCCTGCAGTTTCCAGAAACCTGTTTCATTTTCACGTGTGCTTTCTGAGTAGAGGCTGTGCTTTAGGGGAAGTCGCTGCATCAGTCAAAGGGTGCCTATAGAAAATAAACCAAAGGCTGTTGAAGTTCTCTTGCTAGGGGCATCTAAGCTCCATGTGAAAACCTCCCTAAGTAATGCAGAGCTATTCTTTCTGCTTGTTTTTGAAGAGAGGATTGTTGTTCATAAGGTGCTGGAACAGGCTGTGGCGTGTCAAAGTGGGTTTGCAGCTTTTCACATTTGAAATGTCTCTTTGGGAAAATCTTTCCCAGTTGTTAGGATCCATAAGTAAAACTACCTTGAGAAATACAAAGTGGATCCACGTAGATTGGGCCGTGGAAAAAACCCTAGAGCCAGAGGAATCACTGGTGTTTGTGGTCTTGTGCATTTGGGTCACAGACCTGACCAGGATGTGGATAGTCTGTCAACTGTCAAGAAGCTATACAAGAAGGACTGTTTGCATGTGAAAAGAGGACAGATTTATTTTGGAAGGGATTGTGTGTGGGTGCTACAGGGATGGGAGATTTTGATTTGACTTCTGGAAACCACTAAGGTTTGCTGCTTTTGCCTTTCCAGGTCCACCATTCACCCATCAACAGACACCACGCAAGATGGTGTATTATGGGCAGACCAGTTGTGAGCAGGACACAGAAAGGTACCTCGATGTCGTGAAGTACGTGTTCAGCTCCTACAAGAAGGAAGTGCCTTTAGTCATCAACACCATGGGCTGGGTGAAAGGTAAACAGGATAAATGTCTTCTCAAGAGGTGGTGCAGAAGGAAGGTGATAGTCTTAGGGGTACACCACCATGCTTTCCGGAGGGTCTGGAACCAGAAAGTACAGCTTCCCCCTTGGAGCTAGTCCTGGTCTTCCATAGCAGTGTTGTGACCCGTTCATGTAGCAGCAGCAATCGTGTTTTCTCTGCTCCTAAAGGTGAGGGGTTGCTGCTTCTCATTGATATCATCCGGCTGTTGTCACCCAGTCACATTGTGCAGATGGATGTGTACGACTGGAAGGCCATGGCTCCGCTCACCCCCGAGCACGTTCACCTCACTCCTGGGCTCTACACCAAGGGCAAGCAGCAGGCCAAGTGCAAGCAGATGGGTGCGGATGGAGTGGAGAGCTGGAAGCCCTCTGAAGGGGAGGGAGACGCATCAGCTCCCGAGTACAAGCTGCTGTACGTCCACCCGGAGTTCCCTCGAGCAGGGGTTGCAGGTGAAGCGTAAGTAGAAAGTTTGGTGCTGGGTGGTGGTTATGGGCTTAACAAAACCCGAAGGGCTTTGCTCCATTGTGTTGATCAAAACTTACTAGTTTACTCCCTGGGGGGTTGTATTTGGCTTTTCCACTTGGAATCATTGAATATTACGTCTCCTTTTATCTCATTTCTTACTAGGAGATACTTACTCATTTTTTACAGACTGGTGTGATTATTTCATGATTCCTCTGATGCTTTGAACGTCTCTGAAATGTTTCTTTTCCTGGGCCGTGGGCCTTTGTTGCCAGTTTCAAGTGCCTTTTTTGACTCTGCCTTCTTTAATGAGCTATTTAAGAAACCAAATGTGTTACTCTGTACCCAAGTGACTGACTAAAAGGGAAGGGGTGTGTGGGCATCAGTGCTGGAGAAGGAAGCCATTACCTAATAAGAGACTTTGTTTAAAAGAAAACAAACCACCTCCTTTGCTAATTAATGTCTTCTTAAAGTTGAAACAATGCCCTAAACCCTGTGATCATTTAGGGGTAATAATTACCTCTAAGAGGTAATAAAAACATAGCTCTGTGCTTCCTTCAGCAGTAGAAGTTTAAGAACTGAACTCGTGTGAAATAGCAGCTAATGTTGCCCAGCTGCCTGGGGGATCCGGTGGGAATTCCTGGGTGAAGCTGCCTTCCCTTGACGTGCTGTGGTGGTTTTGCAGGCGAGTGCACAGCGGTATCCTGCGGGACATGTCCATGCTGGGCTACCTGGGCCAGCTGCAGGCCCCGGACATCGGCGCCGTGCTTCCACTGCACAGCCTTGTGCCATACCAGGTACACGGGTGGTTTTGAAGGGCTCGAGGGTGTTCCATGGGGGTAATTGGCAGCTCTGCTCAGGCTGCAGATGTTTTGGAAGAGGGAAAAGTGCTCTGTAATGGGCAGAAAGCTGAGGGCTTCACTCAGCATGTGTAGACACGAGCGTTCTGCTGATGTCCGTGCTGCACGTGTGTTCTGTGTGCTCAGCTCTCGGTGTTTGCTGCTGAGGTAACTCCTGTCTGTTGGAGCGGGTTGGGAGCTTCCAGGGTTTGTGTACTTAGCACTGTCTTATCTCGGAATGAACTAAATTGATTGAGACACTGAGACAATGACCAGGTTTTCCTTCTTGCTTTTTTTAACCCCCTCAGGTACCTTTCAGTGCCATTGCCCTCAGGGTTATTCACACTGATGTTGCTCCTACCAACATCATGTATGCGGTGAACGCCAGCTGGGTCGGGCTCTGCAGGATACCAGATGAGATCAGATGCCAAACTGATGGGCCAGTGCTGCTGACACAGACACCAGTCTGTGATTGCCTCGGCTTCGGTGAGCCAGCCAGGGAAACCCTGTGCTGTGTTTGTGCCTGTCGTGGTTTAGACCAAGCCAGGAGCTCAGCACCATGCAGGCAGGATGGGGAGGAGAAGTGAGAGAATGTAAAACCCACAGGTTGAGACAAGAACACTTCAATAGCTAAGGTACAATATAGTACTAATAGTAATGATGATAAAGGGAAGTAAGAGAAGAAAAAGTATAAACCTAAAAGAGAAAAGGAAAACCAATAAGCACAAGTGATGCACAATACAATTGCTCAGCACCTGCTGAGTGATACCCAGCCTGACCCAAGGAGTGATCACTCCCTCCCAGGTGACTCCCAAAAGTCCCTTGATCAGGGCAAGTGCTACTGAGCAACAACTAAACCATCGGTGTGTTATCAGCATTGTGCTCAGCTAAAGCCAAAACGCAGCTGCACCAGCTACTAGGAAGAAAATTGTCTCTATCCAAGTCAAACCAGACACACGTGTTTTGACAGGTTGGGGTGATGGAGCTGCCTGTGTTCTCACTAACTGCAAGAGGGATGAGATAAGAGAATAATGCGTGGGTTTTCCTCAGGAATTGTCCGAGGGGTTGACATGGAGAAGAAGCTGTACCACATTCTGACGCCGGTGCCTCCGGAGAACCTGCGGCTGGTGAATTGTCTGCTCCTTGGCAATATTGCGATCCCCAGCTGCATTCTTGTGGGCCAGGTACGGGCTGCATGGGAAGAGGGAGAAGCGGCTGAGCGCTGGCTGGCAGGTTTCCTGACATGTCTGGGCATCAGCAGATGATTATCTCTGTAGGAAACTGTCCTTAAGGCATAGAAACAAGGGAGAGGAGAACGTTCTTCTCGTGTTTCAGATACCAGAGCAGGGTTTGGTGACAGCTTGCTGCTTTCCACCAGCCAGCTCTGTCAGTCTACATAGAGGACAGCGCTTCCCGTTCCAGAACAAGAACGTTAAGATACGAGTGTCCTGTTGAGATACAAGTTCTGAAGTTGCTTCTGGTTTTGTTTTCCCTCTTCCCAGCAAGGAGTCGAGGGAGAGATCCCCTATGTCACATCCGATTACAACTACAGCATCCTGGGCTCTGGAAAGCTGAAAAAGAAGAAGCATTTTAAGAGGAGGGAGTATGCGTTCGAGTGTGACTATACCTAGAGCCTCGTGGGCTTTTTACCTTGGGCTTCATTCCACTCTCTGTGGAGCCAGGAGCAGTCACGGAAGCGCTGGGTGCCAGCGAGCTCTGAGTGTAAATACACAGCATGCCTGGTTTTGATAATGTTTTATATTTTGCATTTGTATTTCAATGTTTTATAATAAATATCCATTAAAACGTGGGTTTGGTTTGAATTTCTTCCGCAGCCTGCGCTGGCTCGGGGGGCAGTGACTGTTGGAAATGCTGCAGGTCTCCGGCTGCAGCCCAGCTTTGACCAGCTCTGGATGTCAGAAACAATCCATGGGGACACGAGTGCAGCCCTTGGCTGCGTGTGGTTGTGTCCCTGGGTGTTTGGGAAGGAAGGAATGGACTGGAAAATCCTCCCTCCTCGGGTGGAGCCGCTGGAGGGAGGCAGCCGCTCGCCATGGCCCTGCTTTATTCCGCCTCACCCCGGCTCTGGCTGTGAACCCCGTTGCTGTGGCTTGAGCACAGGTCTGGGGAGAGCTCAGGCTCTGGCTCAGATGCAGTCCCCAGCTCTGCCCAAATAGGTTGTGCCTATGGGTAGAGGCTGAAACAAGATAGAAGCAGGAGGAACTGGTTCCCGCTGGGGTGCTTGGTGTCGCCCGGCTCATGACCTGTGCTGTGCCCCACTGGATGGTCTCACCTTGGTTAATTTCACTCTTTTCCAGTGCGTTGCTGGGGCAGCGATGTCCTGAGTGACCCGAGGCTGGTGGCAGGCTCCCCTGCAGAGGAAGAAGGGATGCACTGTGCCTGTGCTGGATCTTTTCAGCTATCAGCTGCTGCGGGTGTGAGTGAGCTGCAAAAAATGCCTTTATCTGGTTTCTGAGGAGATTTCGTAGCACTCCTGATACCTGTAACCAGACCAATGGGTGGGATGATCAGTGTGGAGGGGACGGAGCTGTGCAGGGCTCTGGGCTGTTGCTGCCTTTCAAAGAGTTAAAGCTTTAACTTAATCTAGGCCTAATTATCCCCATCTGGCTGGGTCTGGCGTGAAGGAAGGACTTGGCTGGCAACCTGAACAGTGCCTAAAACAAATACAGGGGCTGCTGTGCAGGAAGAGCCCTGGCGAGGCGGGAGGTGAAGTCGCGGCTGGAAAAGGCACCAGGAGAGGTGAGGTGGGTGAGAGGTGATGGTGAAACTCTGGGTGCCAAAACCTTCCAGGGCTGAGTATCCCCAGCACCCTCCTATGGGGGCAACAGACCCTGTGCTGGCCGGACAGGGGTCCCCCCTTGAAGCTGGAGGTTGATTGAGGAACCTCCACGTGCTTGAGCCGAGCCTCCAGTGCCCAGTTCTGGCCCTTGCCAGGGAAGGAAACACACTGGTGGCTCCCAGATGCAGCCT